TAAGTGTCAAGTCAGCCATTCCGCTAGACAACCAGGCAACTATGGCCAGGTAACCAGCCAGCCAGCCCGTCAGTCAGTCAGTCAGTCAGTCAGTCAATCATTCAATCAGTCCGTCTGTCCATCCATCTGTCCGTCGGTCTTTTAGTCTGTCAGACAATTTAGCACTGAGTTGTAAAGCAATAAAGTATTACAGGGATGTTACAAACTGTTCGCAAGTGTGAAAACTAAGTGAACCACAGCCGGACACAAAAAATCCTTAAAACCAGGAATGTGTGCCCCCGACCAAGGCAGTGGTGCCACCCTGGGGTTATGGGGTATCCTAACACAAGTACTTGGTGACACATAGGAACTTAAAGCAATTTGATTATATGACAGCATTAAAGTGCCTATGAAGTAAAAGATAATTGCTGCTTATTTGAAACAGAATGACACCTACTATGTTGTTGCCATGGTAACACTCTCTGCTCCAGTCTCTTTTTGTGAAAAACCAAATATCCCCTTTGAAACCTTTTAAGGGACAGAGGATCTTGCTCAGAACACACATGGTTCCCATATTGTTTTAACTCTCCCCATTAGATTGTTGGGGTGGATGATCCTTGTGTAAGATAAAATCTGGTAATTTTAGTCTTAATTGAAACAGGATCAGTGGCATAACTGTTGTCATGGCAATGGCACGACAGGTGCTATTTTGTTTCTTTTGTAATGGTCATTTCTGGTGCCAAGTGTAAAGAACACTGCTTTAATATTTCTAGAGATATACCTGATTGAGTGTTGTACTGTTTTAGTGGAACCACCTATGACGTCATCAATTTCCTCATAATACAAAAAACGTGAATATCTCTAAAACGAAAAAAGATATCCCAAAAAGGAAAATGCCATTCTTCTTTACTTTGAAAAGCCTTTCAAATAAGCAGTAATTATTTTTTACTTCATAGACACTTAAAAGAATCATAAGAAATCGAAAACTAACATTAGTGCACAACAAAGAAAAAAGGAACTTTACGTATGGCTCACCGTAAAAAAAGTTTCACCCTGCTAACCCAGGGGCAGATCTAGGGGGAGGGTGCAGGGGGTATGCACCCCCACCCCCCCAAAATGAGGCCTTCCTCTTTGTATTTGGTTTTAAAATTTGTTCACCTCACCAGTCAGTTACACCATTCCTTAGTGGTGCACCCTCTCCTAAGAAAAATCCTGTATCCGCCCCTGTAAGCGAGTACAAACTCTAATCCCACTATACACTTCGCTTCTCAAACCCATCCCAACCTTCTACTCCATGTCGGCAGAATAGCAATTTATGCTACTTTAACATAATCAAAAAATAACATTATCTAACACTATCGTATATAGTTTCAACATGAAATCTCTAGGAGCAATTGAGAGATGAACGTTGATGTAGAAATACTCTGTATGTGTGTACTTACCGAGAGCGAGAAGGAAGCATTGTATTGAGAGTCATTCTC